CATCAAGTGGAGACGTTCGAAGACGCTTCTTTTCCAAAGAGGACAACATCATCTCTTTATATCTACGACGGCTGAGAAGAGAAATAATTTCCTTTCTTCCCTGAACAACAAAGTAAAAACAATTCCATTCTTATCTCTAAAACTGTTTACTAATGATCAAAATATATGTAAATATTATTAAAATCTCAAGAATCCTTTGGTGGTTAGAAAAAGATTGGATACAAAAGTAGCATAAGAGCATTATATGACAAAAGGAAGATAAATGTTAATTTTATCTGATGCTTGATGCGCATCATCATGAAAGCCAAATAATAATAATGATAATAAGTTATATTAGTGATGGCGGTGATAATTTTGAAAACAAGAATGACAATGATAACAACAATAATAACAAGATGATAATAAATAATGGTAGCAGCAACGAGGATAAGGACAGTGATAACAATAACAATAATGACAATGATAATAATGAAATGATTGTGATAGTGACAATAACAGTAGCAGTAAAGCTGATGATTGTTGTAACAATGATGGTAGTAATGACTATAATAAAAGCATAAGTGGTGCCATTAATAAAGGTTGCATACTATGAAGATGGTATTAATGGTAATGCCACGTTAATGATGGTTGCTATGATTAAGATAGTGATAATTGTAGAGGCCATTATGACAACAACGCTGTGGGAGTGATGGTGGCAAGTGATGTTGCTAACAGCAACAAACAGTAATGAGTTGACACAAAAACATTAATGACAAGTGATGATGATGATAATGTTTGTAATGGATCTAGGGTGGTGAGAGACTTGTTCACTACCATTCCCATTCTCTTCACTGCCCTCTACATTGTCTTGAAAATCTCCAAAATTAGTGAACTCTTCCTCAGTAAACAACATGTGCATCTATTTGTTTCTGCAAAAGTGGTTAGGGCCATATTTTTCATCACACCTAAAACAAAGGGCTTTCTTGATCTTATCTTGCAATTTTGTATCAAATAATTTTCTAAAAGGAACCCCGCTGACGTCTTGAAGTACTCCCTGAAGAACTGGCTGTCTCCACATTTTTTCCTTTGCCTTCATTGAAACTAGCCAAACCCCTTATCTCTCTGGAAAAAATTTTGGTGACTGCATAAGGCTTGTAACTAGCTGTAGTTCTGGTAACAGTAGTAGACCCTCCTCTAGAATTAACACGAATCTTTTCTTCCACCATATGGGCTTTAAGCATCAGTTCAGCCAATGTACTATAGGTTCGTATAATTTGACTTCTGCCACCAAGTATTCTTGCTCAATCCCCTCCAAAAATCCCATATATTGCTCAAATTGTTCAATATACTCCTCTACTGTGCCACTTTGGGTTAATCCAATCAAGAGTTCAAAAGGATTCTTAAACATGGTTGGTTGGAACCTTCGTACCACTGCCACCTTAAACACCGCCCATGAGGGATTCTGATTGCATGTCTCCCACCATTGAAATCAGTTCAGTGCTTTCCCCTCCAAAGCCACCATCACAACTTGCACTTTTTTGTCTTCAGAAACTTCCTTCAATCTGAAATAGAGTTCTATTTGTCCACCCATAGGCTTCCTCACCTGCAAAAACTGGAATATCCAGCTTTCTCCAATGCGACTGATCAGTGTCATCCTTATTTCATTTTTTTGTATGATTATTCCCTGTGGAAGACTCGTCCCCGTCCTCCAAACGTTGGAAGCAATCATGATGTTCATTCTCAGCTCTATCACCCACCATTCTTGGATCATCTTTTCCAACCCACCCAATCTTGCTTCCATTCTTGTATTCACCATACCCTGGTTTTACCCCTCCACAGTACCAAGATTCCAGCTCTAGANATTTTAAACTTCTTGACCTAATATTAGTCTTACTCTAGAAGCTCTATAATGGTCAAAATGACCCAATATAGAAAGTCTAAGCTCATTTATCTTCAACTCTCCTTGAAAGTGTTTAACCGTAACTAGAAGAGTATGCCATCAGTAGACATGTATACTAATGAATTTCAAAAACATGGTCTCCACATACATATGTCTTAATACTTTTGCATCCTTCTAGCAAATACCCAATTGCAGATATATATTGCCATGTTCGACATGCTAGACTATTCCTGGCAGAAACCCAAATGTAGAAAGATTACATTTTCATCGTCTAGATTAGTCTGTATGCATCAAAGATGAGGATTATATTGATTATATAATAGAAAAATAGACAGTTAGGGAATCAATTTTTACAACTTGGATGGAATGCAATAAAAAATACCTAGAAGCATGAAATTTAACATATCGTCCATTTTTATCTAGTTATATTTACAACAAAAAACAAACCTGTTGGAAACCAAGGGAAAAGGGCAACGCCATTGGAAGGGTATATTCCTTTTGTATGGTTATGGAGGAACAAGGAAAACATTTCTATGGAAGACACTATTTTCTGCTATATGATCTCAAGGTAAAATTCTGTTCACACTTGCATCAAATGGGATAGCATCTCTCTTATTATCAGGACGTAGAATAACACATTCCAAATTCAAGATTCCAATCCCCACACTAGAGCACTCAATTTGCAACATCGAACAAGGAAGTAACCTTGCATATTTATTAAAATTGGCTTACCTAATCATCTGGGGTGAAGCAACAATGACACACAAATATTGTCTTGAAACATTACATGGAACTTTGAATGACATAATGAAAGGCAACAAAGAATCTAATTCAGTTTTTTGTGGCATAGTGATAGTCTTCGGAGGTTATTTCAAATAGATTATTCTTGTCATTCCTCAAGATAGCAACATGATACTTTTCATAGAACAATAAATCTGCCTATAGGACCATTGTCCGGTATTGAATTTGATAACAAACATGCACGTGTTTTAACATGGATTACAAAGTTCTACTGCTATAGAAATTCAAATAGATTATTCTTGTTATTCATCAAGATAACAATCTGATACTTTTCATAGAATAATAAATGCATCCATTGTCAAGTATTGACTTTGATAACAAACATGCATGTGTTTTAACATGGATTACAAAGCTCTACTTCTATAGAAATTCAATAGTTCTCAAACTTCGAATTGGAGATGGTACACAAAGTGAACCTAACGATGGCTTATTTGAGATACAAATTCCATCAGAATATTTAATCCTAAACTTTAGAGATCTTATCCAAGCCATAGTCACAAGCACATATTCAGCTTTAATGGAAAACTACAACAATGAAATGTTTTTGCAAACCAGAACAATATTGGCCAGTAGAATTGAAATAGTTGATGAAATCAAAGAATACATCTTGGTCTCGATTCCCAGTAAGACTACATGCATTACCAATATATTATACCTATACACGCTCAATTTTACTAATAACACAATTTCCTTCATGTAACCCATGTCAACAAAGAGAGTATCTCAGCTCTAATTCTATTGATACATCTAACACCGTGGAAAAGAATGCATATGATGGTATTATTCCAAAATTTCTAAGTTCAATAAGAACATCAGGACTACCAAATCATAGTATTAAACTAAAGATTTGGGCACCACATATGCTTTTAAGAAATTTGGATCAAGCAAAGGGATTGTGTTACGGAAGTAGATTAATAGTAACAAAACTTACAAATCATGTTATCGTTGATTATTACTGGGAGCACAAAAGGAATTGAGATTTATATACCATGTATGATCATGTCATAGTCACAGTCCCCATGACCATTTAAGCTAATCACAAGGGAATTTTCCTTCACGTTATCTTATGCTATGAAAATAAACAAATTTCAGGAACAATCTTTGGCATCAGTAGGCATGTATTTACCAACACCAACTTTTAGTCATGGTCAATTGTATGTTGGAGTTTCTAAAGTCTAGAGTAAGTCTGGATTAAAAATCTTAATCCAAGACAGAAAAAAAACTCTAAATTCTACATACAATGTAATTTTCAAAGAAGTTTTACAAAAGTCTACAGTAAGTCTGAATTAAAAATCTTAAACCATGAAAGAGAAAAAACCTCTAAATTCTACATACAATGTAGTTTCCAAAGAAGTTTTTACAAAAGTTTAGAGTAAGTCTGGATTAAAAATCTTAATCCATGACAGAGAAAAAAAACTCTAAATTCTACACACATTGTCGTTTTCAAAGAAGTTTTACAAAAGTCTAGAGTAAGTCTGCATTAAAAATCTTAATCCATGACAGAAAAAAACCTCTAAATTCTACACACAATGTAGTTTTCAAAGAAGTTTTACAAAATGTATATAGGTTTTATGCATCTAAACACATTTGTGTTCATTATAGGAATTATTATTATGTCATAACCCTTGTTGATGTATTTAAATAAGTACTTGATTGAAGTATTGCGATTACACCATTCGACATTTTTGAGTTTGGTACTTTACTTATTTCGATATTGTACGGAACAACAAAAAAATTATCAAATGGAATATCATTCTTCAGAGCTGTTGAAGTAGTTTGGAAATTTTTTTGGATAAAACTGGGAGCACAATCCTTTTTTCATCCAAGGAGATTATTTGTTTCTTAATCCACATGGTCCGTGAAACATGTTCCTTTTCACAATGATACAAATGTGGTGGTTTTCTTCTTTGAAAAGAGTGAATCATACCATTTAACAAAGGCAAAAAATACAAAATAGAAAGAAACTATGAAAAGATCAAACCTAGTCACTTGGTACCAACAAGGAGTTCCCTAAAAATGTACATGAACATGTGTTCTTCTGTTCATCATGAAATAAACAGTAAAGGGAAGAACCACATCCTAGATGGAAATATTAAGACAAATAGAAAGGAGACTTACAACCAGCATCAATTGGTCCGAGTTGGTAGTTGATAGAAGTAATTGCCAGGTGACCTAAGCTAGTTTTCTTGATTAAATAGGATAAAAGAGCTGGTCATGTCACCTATATAGTTGTCTCACAATAAAAAGCATTTGAAGTGATATAAGCCACTACATGTTCAAAGCACCACTTCTCGAAATGAACAACAAAGCGAGTAGATAAATAATTTGGAGTTTGTTTGGATGTTAAATCACAAATTCTAAGACTTCTCAAACGTGATTTTCTTAAAGGAGAATTGTCTTTGAGAATAGACGTGATGCTGAAAGCAAACAAATGCATGCATGTAGGACTTCCTGCATCTCTAATCTTTTGAGACTCTAATGATTAAACCAGTTGGAGCCTGGTCAGTTCTGAGATGACCTGAACCAATCAAATCACGAAGATGAAATCTCACATCAAGTGGAGACGTTCGAAGACGCTTCTTTTCCAAAGAGGACAACATCATCTCTTTATATCTACGACGGCTGAGAAGAGAAATAATTTCCTTTCTTCCCTGAACAACAAAGTAAAAACAATTCCATTCTTATCTCTAAAACTGTTTACTAATGATCAAAATATATGTAAATATTATTAAAATCTCAAGAATCCTTTGGTGGTTAGAAAAAGATTGGATACAAAAGTAGCATAAGAGCATTATATGACAAAAGGAAGATAAATGTTAATTTTATCTGATGCTTGATGCGCATCATCATGAAAGCCAAATAATAATAATGATAATAAGTTATATTAGTGATGGCGGTGATAATTTTGAAAACAAGAATGACAATGATAACAACAATAATAACAAGATGATAATAAATAATGGTAGCAGCAACGAGGATAAGGACAGTGATAACAATAACAATAATGACAATGATAATAATGAAATGATTGTGATAGTGACAATAACAGTAGCAGTAAAGCTGATGATTGTTGTAACAATGATGGTAGTAATGACTATAATAAAAGCATAAGTGGTGCCATTAATAAAGGTTGCATACTATGAAGATGGTATTAATGGTAATGCCACGTTAATGATGGTTGCTATGATTAAGATAGTGATAATTGTAGAGGCCATTATGACAACAACGCTGTGGGAGTGATGGTGGCAAGTGATGTTGCCAACAGCAACAAACAGTAATGAGTTGACACAAAAACATTAATGACAAGTGATGATGATGATAATGTTTGTAATGGATCTAGGGTGGTGAGAGACTTGTTCACTACCATTCCCATTCTCTTCACTGCCCTCTACATTGTCTTGAAAATCTCCAAAATTAGTGAACTCTTCCTCAGTAAACAACATGTGCATCTATTTGTTTCTGCAAAAGTGGTTAGGGCCATATTTTTCATCACACCTAAAACAAAGGGCTTTCTTGATCTTATCTTGCAATTTTGTATCAAATAATTTTCTAAAAGGAACCCCGCTGACGTCTTGAAGTACTCCCTGAAGAACTGGCTGTCTCCACATTTTTTCCTTTGCCTTCATTGAAACTAGCCAAACCCCTTATCTCTCTGGAAAAAATTTTGGTGACTGCATAAGGCTTGTAACTAGCTGTAGTTCTGGTAACAGTAGTAGACCCTCCTCTAGAATTAACACGAATCTTTTCTTCCACCATATGGGCTTTAAGCATCAGTTCAGCCAATGTACTATAGGTTCGTATAATTTGACTTCTGCCACCAAGTATTCTTGCTCAATCCCCTCCAAAAATCCCAGATATTGCTCAAATTGTTCAATATACTCCTCTACTGTGCCACTTTGGGTTAATCCAATCAAGAGTTCAAAAGGATTCTTAAACATGGTTGGTTGGAACCTTCGTACCACTGCCACCTTAAACACCGCCCATGAGGGATTCTGATTGCATGTCTCCCACCATTGAAATCAGTTCAGTGCTTTCCCCTCCAAAGCCACCATCACAACTTGCACTTTTTTGTCTTCAGAAACTTCCTTCAATCTGAAATAGAGTTCTATTTGTCCACCCATAGGCTTCCTCACCTGCAAAAACTGGAATATCCAGCTTTCTCCAATGCGACTGATCAGTGTCATCCTTATTTCATTTTTTTGTATGATTATTCCCTGTGGAAGACTCGTCCCCGTCCTCCAAACGTTGGAAGCAATCATGATGTTCATTCTCAGCTCTATCACCCACCATTCTTTGATCATCTTTTCCAACCCACCCAATCTTGCTTCCATTCTTGTATTCACCATACCCTGGTTTTACCCCTCCACAGTACCAAGATTCCAGCTCTAGATACCAGTTTGATAGAACTAATATATTCAACTATACACTGGATATACTTCTTTATTGAACACATATTATTTTCCTATCAATGTGACAGGGAAAATTAGCCAAGAACACAATTGTATGTTTACAGGAGATACCAATGTGGTATTCTGAGTGGCATTTCTCTCAGCCCTTCCCGACAATTTTCCAAAACAGAATCGACAAAAACACTCCTAAGGCCCCAACAGACTTATATATGTTTGTTACAGTTATAACCTCTAACTGTTTTAATTGTCTGTTTTCCTTCTTTTGTATACAATACCAAATCTATCTATATATTACACTAATTAAGATATAATAGACAACAGAAAAGAACACCATGGTATACCAAACCTTTGATTACAACTAGATAGGATGATCTATCATATCCAGACTAGCAATATGAACTATCAACGTTTTAGACATCTCTTGCTTTATTAAAGATGAAATATTTGCAGTTCCAAAGGACTACAACCCAAAGAAAAGACCCAACCCACACAAAATTATCTCTCAACTCGACATCAGTTGTTTTATTAAAGATGAAATATTTGCAGTTCCAGAGGAGTACCCAAATCACACCCCAAGACAGAAATTACTCAATCAACACAAAATTATCCCTCAACTGCTCTGGAATAAACATACGATGGAATAAACTCCAAAGATGCACTTAGCCAAGCCTAAAACAGTGCTTAACAGCTTGAGTGCAACCTAATGGATCATTTACTTGATAACTTTTCAAACGTATATTGTCCTATAAAAATTTGAGTTTAGTGGGAAGGGCAGTCAATTTAGGGGGAGGCCCGGTAGGTCCTCTCGAGATATGGTGAGGCTTAGCTAGCAATGTTACGATGTGTCTAATACAAATATGTCTTCCAGTCAATAGTGATTGTAAACCTAGCACATGATATGCGCAAAAAATCACATTATACATCCACTGCACTTAACAGTTGATGAAAAGTTACACAAATCCGTTTAACTTGCTATTTGGTATACGTTATAACTTGCCAAGCCAAATGCAAGCCTTCACCCCAGAACCCAGTCCTCAAATTTCAGGTAGCAGATTAACCTCAAATAGTAGTAATACCTCAGTTGAAGTACCCATATTATGCACTAAGTCAAACATGAACATACATCATGCAAAAGTTTCAAGCAGCCAGTGATTGCACATGGAAATGATTAAATGCATATACCTGAACAATACCCTTGAGATGAGAGCCAATGTTTGGAATTGAAAACCAATACATGTTTGGATCAATAAGTTGCCTAGTCTGAAAAGTGTCCAGCAGAATTATTATGCATAAATATTCAACCAAAAAATTGTATATTAAGTGACATTTGGAAAAAGTTTTACAGAGGTTATCTTATTGTGTAAGCACACAAGATGAAAATGGTAAGTATTTGGTTATGCATATAAATATTATAGAAAGGTATATTTGTTGAATGTATTGTGTGTCTAATGCAGACCACACTACCTTTGTCTTCATACAATAATGTCATCCTGGAGCATTTTTTATGTATTGAAGAATACTTGACACAGCATCCCAATGGCTATCACAAGGAGCATTTAGAAAATGGCTTACCACACTAACTGACAAAATGATGTCGAGTCTAGTGATTGTGAGATAATTGAGTCTACCTACCAAGCCGCAATATATTTTCAGGCCTTTCAATGGCTCCCCCTAACTCGGAAGAAGCTTGATATTGAGATCCATAAGAGTATCACAAGGACGACTATCAAGCATACCAGTTTTAGTAAGAATGTCAAAGGTATATTTACGATGTTTAATGACAATTCCAGAAGAAGATTGAGAAACTTCAATGTCTAAGAAATACTTTAAAGGGCCAAAATCTTTAGTATGAAATTGATGTGAAAGGTGCACTTTGAGTTGTTGAATTCCAGTCTCGTCATCACCCATGATGACAATGTCATCAACATAAACAAGGCAAATGCACTTACCGAAAGAAGATTGAAAGGAGAAGACAAAATAATTAGCCTCACATCTAGTCATGCCAAATGGTATCAATGCAGAATTAAAACGACCAAACCAAGCTCGAGGAGATTGCTTCAAACCAAAGAGAGACCAATGAAGTTTACAAACAAGACAAGAATCACCAGGAGCAAGAAAACCAGTGGTTGATCATAAACTTCTTCCTGCAAATGTAAGAATGCATTTTTAATATCTAGTTGATGCAGAGGCCAATGATGAGTACCAACCATAGCCAGAAAGAGATGAACAGAAATTATTTTAGCCATAGGGGAAAAGGTGTCCCCATAATCCAGACCAAAAATTTGTGTATATCCTTTGGCGACCAAGCGAGCTTTAAACCGATCAACATGACCATCAAGTCCAATTTTCACTATATAAACCCAACGACAACCAATTGTTCACTTGCCAGGAGGTAAAGGAACAAGTTCCCATGTGCCACTAGAATGTAAGGCTGCCATGTACTGCTAGGAAGTGGACTTTAAGACTAACTCAACTCCACAAAACTGGCTTGTAAGGTGAAGTTTGCACCCACATATATACTCTAAATTGACCTTGTCTCGTCGATGAGGGACTCCCAACACACACCCCTCATGTCAAATATATACATTTCATGCGTGAGACTAAACATTAATAGGTAGTCCGATAATGGCCCAATAGCGGGTGGAATGACATTCCAACAAATACAAATCTCATAAGGATAGGCTCTGATACCATGTTGATAAGTGAACTTTAAGCCTAACTCAACCCTACAAAACCGACTTGTACCCACATATATACTCTAAATTGGCCTTATATTTAGTCGATGTGGAACTTCCAACACGAGCAAAGAATTGTAGGGGCATATTGGGAAAGTTCAAAAGGTTTATGAGAGGAAGAAGTGGAAACATGTCGCATGGGGACCACAAGCATACACACATTGATTATGTTGCTAACATAATTGCCTACATGGATTCTAGAAGGAATGCATGGATCTTTCATTTTTCGGGAGAGAAGAGAGGATATAGGTTTTGGTTTTGGTTTGGTGGAGAGGGGAGAGGGGATTGTGGTTGGGCTGGGAGTTGGGAAAAGGATCATTATTACCCTCCTGTTTTAGGACTAAGGAATAATATCAGTAACTATTTTTCTCTATTCCATCCGATTTCTTTGTTGTTACCTATCAATTGGTATCCAAAGCTCATTTGGTGGTTATAGGATTAGAGGATAAGGCGCTCAGTTGGTATTAGTGGCGGGAAGAACAGAGCCAGGAGGTCAACTGAGAGGAATTTAAGGGTGCATTGATTTGATGTTTCCAATCAGGGTTGGTACAAAACCCATTTGGTATGTTACTGAGTATTAAGCAAACGAGCCTCGTAATGAAATACCACAAAAAAATTTAACAATCGGCCAGGTGACCACCGTGTAGTCAACGTAATGCTTGAAGACTAATGGACAAACGAAAGTGGTGAACAGATGCTTGGAGACTTATTTCAGATGCATGACAAGCACCAAACCCAGAAAATGGCATATGTGGCTTAGTTGGGTTGAACACTGGTATAATACAAACTAACATGAGGCCACTAAGATGACACCTTTCAAGGTAATGTATGCAAGAGATCCTCCTCCGGTGATTAGAGGAAATGTTTCAGCAACCTCTATAAACGAAGTGGCTGGGATGATACAAGACAAAAATGAAGTGTTAGACATATTGAAGGATCACCTGGTGCAGTCCCAAAATCGGATGAAGCAACATGCTGACAAAAGTAGAAAAGGAGTGGAGTATAAGGTTGGGGATGTTGTGTATTTGAAGATACAACCATACAAATTGAAGAAGTTGGCCAAGGGAAACTTAGTCCGAGATAGTATGGTCCATATGAAATTATTGAGAAGATTAGAGAAGTGGCTTATAGATTGATATTTCCGAGGATAGCAAGGTGCATCCAATCTTTCATGTGTCTCTATTGGAGCCCGTTGTGATAGCCAAAGTTGTTGTTCAACCATTACCACCATATGTGACTGAGAAGGTTTAGTTACAAGTCCATCCTGAAGATGTTTTAGCAATGAGAAGAGATAGCCATCAATCTTTAGAAGTGTTAGTGAAGTGGGTGAACATGCCTGATTGTGAGATAATGGAAGCATTTCCTAGACTTCACCTTGAGGAAAAGGTGAATTTTAGAGAAGGAGGCATTGATACGAGCTAAAAATTGGAGGGGCATATTGGGAAGGTTCAAAAGGTTTGAGAGGAAGAAGTGGAAACATATCACATGAGGACCACAAGCATATGCATGTTGATTTTGTTGCTAACAAAATTGCCTATGTGGCTTCTAGAAGGAATGTAGCGATCTTTCGCTTTGGGGAGATAAGAAAGGATATAGGGTTTGGTTTTCGTTTGGAGGAGAGGGGAGGGCAAATTGTTGTTGGGCTGGGAGTTGGGAAGAGGATCGTCATTACCCTCTCTTGTTTTGGGACTCCGAAATAATATTAGTTACTTTTTTTTTCCATTCCATCCTATTTCTTTGTTGTTGCCTATTATACACCATTTCCAAGATTTGACTTTGCTACTTTGGGTAACAAAGCTGCAACCCTAGCATTGCACTGAGACTCTTAAAACCTCAAATGTTAATCCCGAAAAGCAAAAACCCAAGCATCCATATTTTATATTTTCACAAGGTATGGTAAGAAAAGACATTAGTTTTAATTTGTAAAATATAAAAATACTGTGATTGCCTCTTTTAGTTATCATTGGAGATTTCATGTTCTGTTTATAATCATTAACTTTGAGTGATGGTTATAAACAAAAAAATGCCTGAATATTAAAGCAATGTTTTATACTCCACTTTACTCACAAGGACGCCAGCATTAATTAGAACAGAGATGTGACTGTCCTTCACCTTTCCCCCGAGTGACAAGAGTGAGCACTGCATCAAAAAAACCATCCTCAGCACAGAAAACCATTTAGTGTCCTGGGATAACATAAATACTGACCAACATTTTTGTTTTAAATCAAAGTACCAAACTATAAGATTAAAGCTGGTAAAAAGGAATAATATACGTCCAATATTAGTATTTATATATTAATCACTATAAATGTGGAAATGTGGACGTGCCAGGTTCTTAAATTATGCATTTGTATTCTCCCAAAATAAGGGCATTTTGCCAGGTTATAAACTTCTCTGTTGAGTAGACAGTTAAATAGTAAAAATTGAAAGGATTAAACAAAATATGCTGATTTGAGTATTTCACTCACAAGCTCCTGATGTTCAATACTCGTTTCTAGTTTTGAATCTGGAACATGAGTCTTCAACCACCCAAAAACTTCATATTCCTCTACTTTCTTTCCTTCCATTCTTTTCACAACACGATCTATCTATGCATCAATAGTTAGACAAAGTAAAGACATCAGTTTATCAACAATTAAGCATAACTCGATCAGTAGATACACATTGGTAGTTGGTAAAAAAAAGCACCAACGAAATTTAATCTTTTTACTGGAAAGGGAAAAAAATGTTTCAAAATAAGGAAACGTCTCTTATTATAGAACAGTTAGCCACTATGGCCAAATAAAACATCCCTGAGACTGAATTATAGACATAAATTTACATATATACAAAGACGGATTAGTTTACACTTCACACAAATGTAAGTTAAACCACACATCATCACTAAATATCACTTTATTGGATCGTTTGTCCCAGAACCTATTGTTTATACCATATATGCTTTTCAAAAAAGGAAAATAAGTACACACGATATATTTAATCAAGAAATAGTTAAAACTCAACAATAGGATAGATAATGTTGAATGACATAAAAGTGCCAACTCTCACACTAGTGTAAACTGGGGGAAGAAGGTTTCAAACAGGAAACCAACCTGGTTAAGGTAGTCATCCAAAAACATTACGGCATGATCGTCCTGTCCAGTATTTAATTTGAAAAGACGCAAAACTTTGTCCCTCCTCAGAGACTACACCACAAATAAATTAATTAGTATTATCACATTAATCCAACAGAAACCCATCGCATAAATTAGCAATAACGTAAGAGAGGAGAAAACAGTATTCAGTCGCGAATTACATTTACCAAACTAAGTCTAAATTCCTCAACAAACAGACCTCTAATTCCCTATCCACTTGCGTTCTGTCCTTCACACTGCTATACAATTGTGACTTCAATATAAAAGGCTCCACCGAACCCTAGAAACAAGTACATCATACCACTATTAAAATTCAAATTGAATAACTAATTCGTTAAACGTACGAAGAATGCAATTAAAATTAAAATTCTGAGCTCGAAAGTGGTTAACGGTAATCTAACCTTTTGAATGTGGGGAAACTGAGCTCGCATGATTCGAAGCGCAACCGACGTATCGGTGAACGTAAGATCGTCCTCTGCTAATTGCGGTAAGATTAGTCCAATCTACAAAGAGATACAAAAAACTTAACATATAGGAGAGGATTGCATTGCATACCGAGTGAGGATGTATTTCCGGCGTCGGAATCTTCATCTCGACGGCGTTTTGTCCCTTTCGATGAAGATTCTGGAAATTTCTCCATGGACTGCGCGGTGCTGCAAATTCGAATTTCCACACCACTCGTAATCTGTGTCAGATTGATTTTAAATAAATATATTAAACACAGTACATTAATAATCTAATTTTCTATCTTATTTTTATTTTTCAGATGTTTTGTATTTTATTTAATCGTTTCCATCATCTAGTTTTCAAACTTTTTATACACTAAAACACTGAAACATTACTAGATTTTTTTCTCCCTTACATGAAAAATGCAATCAGAATATGAAGAAATTCACCAAATTCATAAACTCAAATTTAATTGTATAACTGTATTTGATGGTAATTCTATTCTTCCAAAACCATTTTCTTCCTTTATCCTACAACTAACCATTACAAAGTCTGGCATCATGGTTTGGTCAACATAATACTAATATTTTGATTGAAGAATTTTGTTCCCACAAAGTACCCACAAAGTACCATAGAACTATTTGTAAATTTTCCGGGATCATGAAAATTGTTTCAATTCCTTGAAAATCTTGAGCTCACCTCTTTCCTATGTTACGAGTAATGTGCACTATTCCTATTTCTCATGTGGTCAAACCATGTTATATATGCAACTGCTTTACAATTCAATCCTCATCAAAGTGTTTAGTAATATTGAAGTTAAGTATAGTATGAAGTCCCTCCTAAATAAAAATAGATGAAAAAATTAATTTGTAAAATAAATATTCAAACATATAATGTTAGTAGACTTTAATATATGAAAATATATATTACACTTATAATTATTTTAGAAATCATCAAACAACTTGTTTCGGATATGAGGTCGAGTTACTTCAAACACCTACACAATTTCTTTTGGAAAGTCGTCCGTTAACTAGCTCAAGTCTTCGTTTTCACTCCATTATTTGAAGGTGTACCTGCCAAAAGTTCACCAATGCTACCGTCACTAAACTGTCTGTACGGGAGTTCAATACAATGGTCATAAATGTGCAGTTAATGTCATCACCTACCTCTTGTCTTTGACCTATATTTATAGTTTTCGGCATGGTGTTAGATTAGTGAAACCTTAATCACAACACAATCTTAGCTTAATACTTCTAATTATCATTTACCTTAATCTTTGTAGGAAAACATCTTTATTGACTAAGGTCGGACGTTCTGCTCCTGGTCGTCCGGTATGTTTGATCACTACTTAGTCGTTTCATACTCTTCAAGGTCGTTCGATTGGCTTGATGTGGGTAATTGTATGGTCGTCCAGACCATACGATACACAATTGGTTCGAATTATTAAGTCTTATAGCCTTAAAAAGAGAAAAATATATATATTTGGTTATATCTACTATAAATAAAAGAAAATAATAAACTAGTTTACTATAAATAGAAGAAAAACAATATATTAGAAAAATTAACTTCTTATTCATGTTTATTTTGTTGATAATTGTTCTAGTTGTTAGTTTTTTAATCATATCATATTTTTATTTTTTTTTCGGTCACATGTCTTTAAAGATGTAATTTATTTATTATAAATATAAGAAAAAAATAATACTAGGCAAGTTTATCTATATTTATTTTATTGACAAGTATCTCAATGATCCTAACAAGCAATGGGAAACGATAGATATGTTGTCAACCGACCTATTTTATTCAAAAGGGAAAAGTTTGATTACTAAAAGCAAAAGATAATTGCATTTTTTGAATCTTGTCATATCGACATGAGGTAGAAAATAGTAATTATATATCTCTTGATAACAAAGGAGAGCCATCACAGAAAAGCTCGTGGCTGATGAGCAAAAACACATGTATCTCCTCAACTCTAAAGCTTGAAATTCACTAATATATGCTTTGTTTGAAGAAGAATACAGGAAAGTGTTATAAAATAAACCCAGAATAATTTTAGAAGAGAAAAAGAAGAAAGGAGAAGGAGAGAAGACTGACTTGGGATGTTTTTGGAATGTGAGAAAAGCTCTCTGTTTATAGAGTTAGGAAAGAATAAAATCAATAAAAGATAATAAAAGCTATTAAATATTTTACCGTTGGGGCACTTAATAAAATGAATTTAAACTTGACAATTAAAGTTTTGAATGTTGCAATCCAACATTTTTCTTTTGCAATAATCTAACATTATTACAACAGAAAGTACTTGAATTCAAGGAAGCAAAGGAAATGTGGGACACTTTAGTTGTCATATACAAAGAATCAAATGAAGTTAAAAGAAATAAGATAAGCTTGTTAACACATGAATATGAGTTATTCACCATGTTGGATAATGAGAATATCCAAGCCATGTTCAACCAGTTCCAAACAATCTTAAATAAGTTAAGATCTTTAGGTAAGGTCTATGATAGTTTGAATAACATTGAAAAGATTCTTCGCAATCTCTCCAGGCAATGGAAACCACAAGTTACGGCTCTAAGAACCTCAAAGAATCTTGATGGGATGAGCTTAGAGGTACTTGTTGGGATCCTCGGGAGTGGTAAGAATACTTGTAAAGTTGGAGAGGTAAAACTCGTATAATCTTATTAAAGATTAGTGGAATTCCTTAAGAGTTCTTGAAAGAGAACTAGACGTAGCTCAGGTTGAGTGATCCAGTATAAAATCTATGTTTTATTGCTTTCCTTCTTCAAACTTTTTCATAAAGCTCTTTTGAAGCACTATCGTATGAGCTTATCTTTTATATATCAATCTTTTGAAAAACTATCAAATTGTCATTTGCAAAATGTTTTAAAAACATTATTTATACACTGATTAAATTAATATAGTGAAAAACATTAGAAAGGTTTAACAATACACATTAGACGAGTCTATCTATACACTTATTAGATGAATATAACATATAAATTAAATGAATCATTTCATACATTGATTATGTAAGTCTAAGAATACATATTAGAAAAGTATGTATATACACTAGTCAAATGAGTTTTGCAACACACATTACTCGAGTTTGTCCGTACACTGCTACTAATACATATTAGATGACTCTATCTATTCTCTTATTAGATGGGTCTTACGATGTGTACATTACACAATTTTGTCCATATACTAATTAGACAAGTTTAACAATACACATTAGATAAGTGTGTTTATATACTAATTGAATGAGTTTAACAACACATGATAAAGAGTTTATCCATATACGTATTAGACGAGTTTAGCATTACATATTATGTTGATACAATAATTTATATTTTTAGCTATATATTTTTGTATATTATACTTTTATAAAATTTACTCTATATTTTTGCACATATTTTATTATTTATATTTTTGCAAATCTATTATTTATATTTGTTATATACATATTAATTTTTTAAATTTATAAATCTTTTTTCATATTTATTTTATTAAATTTAATTATAAATTCCAAAATATTTATAATTTTTTTTCTTAACCTCTGTCTCTCTCTCAGTAAACACATAAAAAAACACAAATAAACACCAAGATGGGCGTATACACTACTTTAAATCTAAATTTTAAGAAACATTGAAACGATGAAATGTTTACCTTTTACAAGTAATCAACTTCATTGCATGTTACTCTCCTACACTACTCTCAAACTTTTTATCGACCAATAACAATGAAGCAGTAAATAACACCGTAAGCATTTGCAGAGGTTAGATCTCACTATTTATCGAATCTGTCATTGTGTATAACTCACGAAAATAAAAATAGAATTTTGATTTTTGAAAAGACATTTACGACATTAAGATATTGCATTGTTCGTTATGCGATGCCCCAGTTTAACGCAATCTCTGAAGTGAAGAGACGCGGAGTCTTAGGTACAAAATGCTATCCATCTTTTTGTGTTTTTCCCTTTTCTGTGTCTGTTTTCTCTCCTCAGATCCATACCCTTTTTCTGAATTGCCTCCGATTACAGAATGATAGCTTTTTCATCTCTCTGCTTCTGCCACCTCACTCTCTACTCTTTTCACGAGATGGGTCAGTGAAAGCTGACAGCTTGTCGGTGATGCCAATTCATATGCATGCCCATATCTGGAGTTTGTGCGTCAGTTCCCTAGATTTTGTTTTTCTCTTTTGGAATGTGTTAACTCATTCTCTTGTTATCATTAATGGGGCTCCTATTTGTTGTTTTTTATGTTCGATTTAAAGATCTGCATAGAATTTGGAAAAATGGTTTTATCCAATAGTAATGTATACTTTCTAAGGGATTGTGCTTCTGGTATTTTTGGTTCAGTTTTTCATTCATTACGATGCTAGTGAGTGCTGTTTCATTGGTTTCAATTTCTACTTTCTGTACAGTTATTGATTCGAGGCTCTAGTTTGCACCAGATAGGTGCTTTGTGGAACTGAGTTGGTACGGTTGAAACGGTGATTGTGGTGAGATAATTATGACTTATTGTTACTCAATTGAAATTGAATATTTGTTTTGGCTCGTATATTATCTATTTTTTATCTACAAGTTGAAGTTGAAACCATGGTGTATTGTTATGCAGTGACAAAAATGGGCAGAGGGAGAGCAGATGGGAAACCAAGAAAGCGGTTGGTCATAACTGTGATTGTTTTAGTGATTGTCTGTGCTTTCTTTTACCTGTATTCTAGGGATAGCGCTTCATCTTCTATTGAGTATGGTAGCAAATCTTTGACATTTGGAGGAGATGACAGTGCTATACCGAAGACCATTCCAGTGAGTTCTCTTGAATGTTAATGTCTTGTTTGAGGATTCAAGTTATTTTACTCGTGTTCAATTTTTTCAGGTCTGTGATGATCGTCTCTCAGAGCTAATTCCGTGTTTAGACAGAAATTTCATATACCAAACAAGGTTGAAGCTTGATCTGACTATGATGGAGCACTACGAGCGACACTGCCCCATGCCTGAGAGGCGCTATAATTGTTTGATTCCCCCTCCTCCAGGATACAAGGTGTCTCTCTTTTCTCCAGCATTGTTTCTCTTAGATATAACTAAGAGAGTTAAATAAATTGGGAAATTTTCTGTGCTTACAGCTTTCAGTTCTGTTCTTGACAATAGATTCCAATCAAGTGGCCCAAAAGCAGAGATCAGGTATGGAGGGCAAATATACCTCATACTCATCTTGCAACTGAGAAATCTGACCAGAGATGGATGGTTGTAAAAGGTGAAAAGATAGTTTTTCCTGGTGGAGGAACTCACTTCCATTACGGTGCTGACAAATATATTGCATCAATTGCCAATGTAAGCTAGTTACTGTCTGGGCCAAAACATAAAACTTTTACATGACTGGAAAAATTTATGACGTAGTATCTGTGGTTGATATTTACAGATGCTTAACTTTCCAAACAATATCATAAATGACGAAGGAAGACTTCGCAATGTTTTTGATGTTGGCTGTGGTGTTGCAAGCTTTGGAGGATACCTTCTTTCTTCTGATGTAATAGCAATGTCATTAGCACCAAATGATGTTCATGAAAACCAAATACAGTTTGCTTTAGAAAGAGGAATTCCCTCATATCTTGGTGTCTTGGGGACATTAAGACTCCCTTACCCCAGTAGATCTTTTGAACTTGCCCATTGTTCTCGCTGTAGAATTGACTGGCTTCAAAGAGATGGCATACTTCTTCTTGAGCTAGATAGGTTACTCAGGCCAGGAGGCTACTTTGCGTACTCATCTCCTGAAGCCTATGCTCAGGATGAAGAGGATCAAAGAATATGGAGGCAAATGAGTGCTCTTGTAGGGCAGATGTGTTGGAAAGTTGCTGCTAAGAAGAACCAAACTGTAATATGGGTGAAGCCTCGTACAAATGACTGCTACTTAAAAAGAGAGCCTGATACTCACCCTCCCCTCTGCAGTCCTGATGATGATCCTGATGCTGTTTGGGGAGTTAAAATGAAAGCTTGCATCTCACGTTACTCTGATCGTGAGTGATATCTTCTCCATTTCATTTAATGATTTAGTCTGTTCTCTAATTTCAAGACCATGAAATATACTGATAATAAGAATGTTCCTATAGAGTAGTTAAAAAAATAGACTATGAATAATAAGTGATGAAACAACGTAGTGCTTGAGGAGCGGCTGTCTTGTGATTATGAATATCCAGTAGTTGGCTAGGTAAATCAGATAGCTTTTGCTGTTCGAGATGGGTCCATGTTCTTTCTGATTACATTACATTCGACACAAGTTATACAACTCATTTTTTTCCGTATATTAATGTTGCATGGTTTTGTTCTTTTCCATCAACAAGTTGTGGTATTGTTTCTTTACTCTTTTATCATAAGTTGAAAAGTCAATAACCATATATTCTGCTGGTCTATGCAGAGATGCACAAAGCAAGAGGATCTGGTTTGGCTCCTTGGCCAGGTCGATTGACTACTCCACCTCCTCGTCTTGCTGACTTTAACTATTCTACTGAAATGTTTGAAAAGGACATGGTAATTTAAAATATATCCTGTTTACTCTTTTAATGACTTGAATAATGAATGCAAATAACCATCAGAAGTAGAAACAAAGGTAACAGTGAGAGAAGAAAATCGTGAGAAATACAAGACAGAAGTGGAAACCCCACATTTGCCAATTGAAAGTATAAACAAAGAGATAACTAGGATCTCATTTCTTGTAAAATTTGACATGAACAAATTAAAATGTGATAATCTAAATGTGACACCATATGAATAGTTCTCTTAATTGTGATTTCATCTTTGTCCCAGTCATGAAATTGGGTGCAAAATGGCACAAATAAAGTCATTATTCTTGAAATCAGAATTTAGAAGCGGGTTAGCTTCGTAGCCACGTGTCTGATTATGTTGTTTATGACAACTAATTCTGTGCAGGAACATTGGCACCAAGAAGTTGTTAATTACTGGAAAATGCTTGGCAATAAAATTAAGCCAGACACAATTCGGAATGTGATGGACATGAAGGCACATTTGGGCTCATTTGCTGCTGCTTTGAAGGACAAAGACGTTTGGACTATGAATGTGGTGCCAGAAAATGGACCAAACACTCTCAAGATCATATATGATAGAGGGCTGTTAGGAACGATTCACAACTGGTATGGCTCTTATCTTTATAAAGGAATTATCTTTCTCAAGGTTATAATAACAGCAATTCCTGTTTAATCTACTGCTTCATTCTCTTCAATACCTCTGAAACTTTGCCCTTTAATCTACAAGACTTTGCTGTTATTTATCTGAAATGCAAGATATCCCACCATTGGAAGCACTACTTTGATATAGTAAAGTTAAACCACATTCTAGTTGGAAGAAATATCACCTTCTCTTGACATTGTTTTGTCGTTGATGTGACAGGTGTGAAGCATTTTCGACCTACCCTCGAACTTATGATTTGCTCCATGCATGGGGTATATTTTCTGATATCATTGCGAAAGAATGCAGTCCAACAGATTTATTGATTGAAATGGATAGAATCCTGAGGCCTAAAGGTTTCGTCATTGTCCATGATAAGCGTTCAGTGGTGGTGTTTATAAAGAAGTTCTTGCCAGCATTGCACTGGATTTCAGTGGCCACATCTAATCTCGAGAAAGATTCAAACCAAGACAAAGATGATGCAATTTTGATAATTCAGAAGAAGATTTGGTTGACAAGTGAGAGCATCCGGGTTTCAGAATAGAAGCATATTCACTTTGAAGTTTAAAGTCTCATCAATACACAGTCATGGAAAATTGATCTTATAGCTCTTTTCATGTGCTCTGGGTTCTCTTTTATATGTTATTCATATCCTCTACAGCATAGGTAGAAGTGTCAGCGAAAGATCATCTAAATCATGTTGGATGATTTTATTTAATTTTGGACACAATTAGTCACCCTTTTGTTGTGATTAAGATAATTAGATGAATTTGAGGAAAGATTTTGTTTTTCTAAATCAATTGGAACATATTACAGGATAATGAGGTTGTATTTGTTTATTTATTTATTAATTTTGCTGCTGTTTTGGGAAACTACTGATCAGGTTATTCTAGTTCACACCTACATCGCGCAATCCCAACCAACCATAAAAGATTAGACAAATATAAACAAAAAGAATTGCTTCTAGTGAATTTTGATGGTAGCTTCAGTCACCTGAGAATAATAGGATCGCAGAAACTATTTTGAGCTGTCATTACACCTCATTTACTTCTAGGTAACATAGTACACCATTTTTTTCCTGTCTTCAAACATGGAAACTTGCTGTTAATTGAGGAGTCGCATTTAACATATGGAACATTATGATTTTTTTTTTTCTGTTTGATTTTATGTGATGTTTATGACAGAAGTCGTATACAAACGTTCATAAAAAAATTTCAAACTACTCAAATCTTAGCACATGTCTAAGGACGAACTCCCCTAATCCTGGTAAGAACAACTACCAAGAATGATAGTTGTTCCTTTTGAGAACAATTGGGACAAAAGAAATGAATTTATTCTCACCATGAGAAACATAATATGGATCAAAGAATCTATTTATAACTTCCATCATCAAGAAATAAACTCAAACAATTGAAATCTTGGTAAAAGGTTTTTTCACAACAACCAGTTTTCTATGTCAAAGTATGATATGTAGAAAGGGTTCCCATACCATTTTATCATGGTATAAAAACGTAGGATAAGGAAATAAAAGAAAGACTATGGGAAGAGAGAATGAATACAGTAAAAAATAAAATAACAACTAATTAGTTATAATTAATAACAAACTAGTTGAAACTAATTAACATTTAACCAAACAAACAATAACCAACCACAAACATCTACAACATACTCTAGTTTAAAAGAAAAAGTCGTTTCACATTAACTGTCATTTTACAAATAATACGAATCAATAATTCATCACACCTCCTCCATTTATCTTAACTATTAAATGAAAATATAAGAATAAGAAATCAGAATAGAAAGTATAATTAAGGAGAAACTTTATAAGACTAAATGTGAAAAATAAAATTAAGGAGATCAGAATAGAAAGTATAATTAAAATAGTTTTAGAAAAGCTCGACACATTCAAAACGAATAAGAAATCTTCAAATTTAAACATAGACACGGTATACATTTATTTTGAAAATAATATGATACGTGATTTATGTATATTGAAAATTGTACAATAACTCTTAAAAACATGATAAATATATGGTTGTTATTGTGTGAATCCAAATTAAAATTATATTTATTGAAATTATTAATATAAAAAATTATAAATTATTATCATTATAAAAAAGTACTATAGTTTTATAGATTAAATACTTCATTGATAAGTATTGATAAAGTATGGTAAAGTATTACGGATACGTGTCGAATATATAATTCAAATTGAAACGTAAAATATGTGATCTGAATTGAAGTATAATTACATCATAACTAATCTTAAAAAAGAAAACTAAAATTAAATTATGTTTTCACTATATATATTTTAAATATTGCAAATCTACAATTTTTAACAAATAAATATTACCAGCCATTACATGGAGAATTTTAGAGAATAATTCATTTTTTATAAATGAATTATTATTTTTTTTACAAAAAATGTGTTGCTTTAATACAAACAATGAAAGTTTAATGTGAGAGAATAATTCGATTGTTTAAAATTTGGTAATTTTAAATCTCACTTAAATAAGATTGGAAACATTTACAATCTTTTGTACTGTTTTTTTTCTCAAATTAATGTCTCTTCTTTTTATATAATTAAAGTCCAAACATCATCAACTCAACATAAATATCTTTAGATTAAAATCTATCATAATTTCTTTTATAATGTGTTTTTATAGAAATGATAAGTATCCTGCAAAGATTACAATCACTTCATTAACGTCTTCAATCTTTTATCTCCAAGGGGCTCATTCTCCTCCTGAGTACTCTTCTTCGATAAAATAAAAGATAGTTGTGCTTATAAAAGACATTTCAACGTAGTCAGTCCCTCTCACATTAGCAAAATAATATATGTGTACTTAATCAAAATGTAAATAAAATACTTCAATAATTATGTTATTTATAATATTATTTACCGTGTTAGTGAGCCCTTACTTGGATGAACATGGACTTGGACCTAATGACTCATTTACCTTAATAGAACGAGATTATTTTGATCATATGTAATAAAAATTACACAATAACCACTGGATTGTAAGTATCAGTTTTTGTAGACCGACATATAATCAGTCAGACTGCTTAATAGTAGTATACTATGCGAACTAGACATGTTTAAGTGTAAATACTTAAGACATATTCAATTATAATCTAGATTGCATCATCTAAAGACAAAACCAATACTGATGTGACCGAAAGATACTCAACCATATATATTACATCATTGATAAATGACATAAAAAGTGGACAAATTTATAATTTAATTCATTTCCCTTGTATTATGAATTTATAACATTTAATTTTTGTCTTACATATGAGATTTATTTTTTGCATTTTTTTTTGGTCAAACACATTCTAAACTCATCAAGAAGAAGACAGAACACGAAGGGAGGGGGAAAGCAAGGGGAAGCAAGCAGGGGGGGGGAGCAAGAGGGGAGAGGGGGACAGGGGAGAACTCAAGGCAGAAAGGGGAGGGGGGGGCGGGTGGTAGTGGGGGCCCCAGAGGGAGGGGAGAAG